ATTAATACCTGTAATTAAACCACCAAGGACAGACAGGTGGGCTTTGTGCTCCAGCCTAGACCTCCCAGCCTCTCTGCCTGTCTGGGGCACTGCTGACAGAGCTGCTGAGAGCATTTCCAGGGATGACTGTGAGGTGCCAGAGACACCAGGCTGGGTCACATCTGCATTCCTGAGATTGCTCCTCTCTGCTGGGTCTCCCAGGAGATGCCTGGGGGTGGGCAAGGTGAGCATCCAGCCCTAAGATAAGGGCATCCAGCCCTAAGATAAGGGCAATGAAAACCTCATTTCATCGTTAATGAGTGATAAAATGTCACCCCCATCCTCCCATCAGTGGTTCTTCTTCCCCCAGCATTACTCCAGTGCAGGAGTTTTCCAACAAGGGAATGTTTTTTTCTCAAAAAAGGCCAACGCTTCTTTAAAAACATCTTTGGCAAAACAGGGAAAATGATATGTCAGTTCATGAGGTCAAAAAGAGCTTCAGAAATTTTGAAAAATATCAGTTTCCATCCCATTTGGACAGGAAGGTATTTTTATTTTTATTTACGTTTTAAAAAGAAGATCTCTGGTGAACCAAGATCCTTGGTTTTCAGCCAGCTGTAACCATGAGTCCTTCAAACCCTTTATTACAACTTTGCTGGCTTAATTCACTTTCTTCCCAGTCCCATCTCTCTCCAGGGTTTACTGTCTCCTGCAAGTGATTTTATTTAAGGGATGTAGGTGGACTTCTTTCCCCTCTGCAACAGATGACATCACGGGCAAAACTGTGCCAAAAAAGAGGCTTAAATCAGTCTCTGTGCAGTGGCCATGCTCAGAAATACCCACCACAAACCAATTAACAAGTCTGGAAAGGTATCCCAGTCATTATTACAAATGAATGATAATGAATATCAACTTTTTATTATTTTCTTATTCCTTTCTTATACAGCAGCCAGTCCTTGCTGGGTAATTTATAGCCAGGTAATAACTTCCCTGTACCAAGTGACTTCAAGAAGGTGGGCTCATCCACAGCAATGGTGGTGTAAAGATGTCATTGAGAAAGTGCCCAAATAGATGATAGGAAAGAATGGGACAAAATACCAGAACAATGCTGAAGGATGAGGCAGGCAGAGAGAATAAGGTGGATGTGTGGCAGGAGAGCACATCTGAAGTTGTCACGGGTGAACCAAGGCTGGCAGGAGGAGTGAGTGAGTCAGGGCACCACCATGGTGTCACTGATGGGAGAGGGTGACATTAATACTGTCTGAAAGGGAAAAGAGCAGCCCTGGAGTGCCAGGGTAAGTCACAGTCCCTGCAGCAGCACCAGTGGGAGAGGCAGGGAGGAGATCAGCCATGAGCACTGGTGCCATCACCCTGACATGCAGGTGACAGTGTGTCCCCCTCTGCCACTGATGGATCAGTGCCCTGGGGTGATGAGTGGGTAGAGATGGACCAGGAACCAGAGAAATGCAAGGTGACATTTGCACAGTGGGGCTCCCAACAGAGAGCATTGGTATTTTTATGTGCCACCAACCTCTAAAGCAACACGTCCCCTGCTAGCCAGAAATCCTTCTCCTCTCTCCATCTCCAGCTCTGCCCACAGGTTGGCACCCAGCTTTGGTGGAGGCATCCAACACAGGCCCTCCAGTCTGGTTTGGATGACATTTATCAAAATGCTGGGTTTTCCTTCTGCTGATGCTCAGGCAGTCATTTGGGTGGATGAAGGCAGCAAACGGCAAGACCCAGCTCTGGAAATACCTCCTCATAATGACCAAAATCACAGCTTAATTGTGGGGTTTGAGCTGCAGCTAGAAATATCTGGATTTGGGGCTGTGCTCATTCTTGAGCTGTCCTCCCCCATGGTAATTATTCGTTAGGTCTTAATTACTGCTTCTCTTTGTAGCTCTAATTCAGCTGCATTTTTTGGTCACAACCTCTGCTGCCACCCACTTCTCTAACTTCTACAAAGAGCATTCAGATACCTCTTAAAGTGAAGATCAAATAATGTTTGCTGGTGTCTGGCCAGGAGTGGGTGCAATATCAGAGTCTGCACCTTCTACTAGAGGGAGAAGCAATTCATAAAGCCTGGGGGATCCTGCATGTTGTCCCTTCAGGTCGTGTTAGATCTGAGTCTTAGATCAACAAGAAAAAGAATATTCTCCGTGTGCAGGAAGCTGGGTAGACAGATTCATCATCTGGGTTCTTTATCTGGCTTGCCCTGAAGCTCACCAGACTCAGTAACAGTTGTCACATTGTAAATTAGATTTTCCTTAGGATTGTGGGAGATAACATCCAGAGAAGACATCTCAAGGCATTTAGCCCAGCATCAGCTGAGCTGGAGCTGCTGGCTGCACCCATGTCCTCCCCAGAGCAGCACAGCTCCTGGGGGTGGACCACAGGGCAGGGCACTCCCAGGGGAGCATGAGAGATGAAGCCAACCTTGATGGAGGCACTGTAAATTAATTTCTGACAATAGAATCATAGGATAGTTTGGGTTGGAAGGGACATTTAAGGGTTATCTTGTCCAACATCTGTAGCTAGATCAGGTTTATGTCAATGCTTTTGGTGTTGACTCTTACCACTACTCCTCCATCCACCTGATGTAGTGTCCTCCAGCATTGCTGACAAATAAATTCAATTTTGATACACTTTTTCTACCCCACCACACCACTCAGCCTCCAAGAGGACACAGCTGGACACACGAACAAGGGAAATGTGAGGGAAAAATATTCACATCCACGCAGTTTTCCATTAACCATGAATGCAACACGGGCTTCCCTGGGGATGGGGAAGGGACCCTGACTTTAGGCAGAGTTTAGGCACGGGGCAGTGAGACTCTGATTTACACAGAACCCAGCCAGATCTCTGCCCACCTCCATGAGGGCTGTGTGTATACAAAATGCACCCAAGCCTAGGGATTCAAACCTTCCCCAATACCTCCACTTCTGTCTAAAAAAGAAAAAAGAGGAGATGATTTATGCTATATATCAACATAAATATATTCCTTCCTGGCACGTCTCGCTTGCAGCAAAACTGCACAAGTGCATCTAGACACCTGGAAATATTGCAAATAATTCCTAATAGAGTCATTTGCAAAGCAGCTCCCGAAAATAGCAGTTTCTTTTTATCTTTTTTTTTTCTCACAGATGGATAAAAAAGATGAGGTGAGGGCAGTCACTCCCCAGCCGGAGGCAGGTGAGCCGGTGCTTCATCCAATGTGTTGCATTGTAAAGGTTTGCCCGTGGTTTAGTTAATCCCAGACACATTCCTGAGCCATCAATCACAGCTGAGTCAGCCAGCGTGACTGCTCTGCCCTTTTTATTTTTTTTTTTTTTAGCCATCACAAGTTCTCTCGCCTTGTTTGCCAGCAGTGAGCTGGGGGTTTATTCCTTTTTTTTTTCTTTTTTTTTTTTTTTTTTAATAAAAATGGGACTTGACTGGGAGCAGGGAAATGTTCCTGCTGTCGAGTATAACCTTTAAAGCTGCACCGCCTCGAGGAGCTTCTCCTCTCTGGGATGCTGTGACAAAATGCATCACATGGAAATAAAAATAAAGGATGCTGCTGCCTGGGATGCCATTGGAACCTAATTCCCCTCCCTTACTTGGGGGTGGTGTGACACAAGCCCATGGTGCACATGGAAAATAGAAGAGATTTTTGGACTGGGGGCATTTTCTTATAGAGCAGCCTTGGAAACACTGCCCAAATCCATTCTCAGGGAGGCAAAACCTTCCTCCTCGTGCTCTTCCCACAAGGACAAGGTTTTATCATGGCTGGGGAGGGCATGGGAGCTGCCCTGATGTTGTGGCTTTGTGTGACCTCAGCCCACCCCTGTGGAGGAGTTATCAGAGCCCCTGCAGGACTCCCTGTGAGGCAATGCAAGGCTGCAGTCATTACCCTAAAACAAGTGTTTTGTCTCTGCCTGGTTCATGGAGACAAGCCAGGTTGCTAGAGATAAAAAAAATGGCTAAAAAAAAATTAAAATCTTGTGGTTGCTGATTTCCCAGAGAGCACGAGTCCTCCCTGCCCTCTGGGAAGAATGAGCATGGCCACCATGGCACACCTCAGCATGTCCACCCAGAAAATTTTATTGCAGGTGGCTCAGTCACACTTAAAAAGAGAGAACACCCTCCTCGGTGAGAGGACCTGGAGCACAGAGCAATTGGGAGAAGGGAGATGATCCCTGTGCACCCCAAAAAGCTCTGGTCCAAAGCAAGGCCTGACAGGCTCTGCCAGCCCAGGGGAGAGCAAGGCTGAAAATCAGCAGCAGGAGCCAAAGAATACAGCTGAGCTGGGATGAACAGCACTCTGCTGCACATTTTGGCCCCTTTAGCTCCCCACAAGCTTTTAGAGATATAAATGCCACAGTGGGACAAGCCTCTAATCACAGAAGAGGCATCCACCCAAGATGTGCTCCCAAAAATCATGTCAAATTACACCTTTCACTTCCTTCTCCCACTTTTTCCCCTGAATAAATTAATAATATCAATAAATTGATATTAAATTTATTAATAAAAAACCCATACACAGCTTTACAGGGAACTTTTCTTGGCAGCTGTTTTCCTGCCTTCAGGGCAAAGACAGCCCTTATCTCAGGGCACAGCTCTTGTCCAGCCCTTCATTCAGCACCCAGATATTTGATTTCAAGAACTAGACTAGGTTTGAATAAATGCCTAGTCCTGCCAAATCTGCACCCTAGATTTAGATCTGGGCAGGACAAGACCCAATATACCACTTTTCTACTCAGGAGTGATGGAGCATATACAGCCTGGAGGGCATTTGGTTGTCCTAAGTAGGTGTTAACACTTGTGGAATTCATAGAATGGTTTGAAAAAACACCTTCTCCAAAGTCCCCTAAAAATCAGCCTTGAATACTTCCAGGGATGGAGCATCCAGAGTCTCTCTTTTATGGTAATTTTATTTATGAGGCACAGGAACATACACGTGAGGCAGCACAGGGTGGCACATGGTGACCCTTAGGGCCTGAGAGAATGATTCCTGACACAAGGAAGAACCAGATCACATCTATATTTCAACAAGGTATTTTTATTGGTCCAGCAACTGCAAAATATACAAATTTCTGAAAGGCATACCCTGTTTTTAAGCTGGCACAGCTTTATATCAGGCAATTATTCCAGATGTATATACAGAACAGTTAACATACCACAAATCAAAAAAAAAAGTAATCCTAAGTAACTACACCCTTCTCTCCAAGCTTTGCAGTATACATTAAATAAATAAAAAGCGCTTTGCTATTAAAAAAAATAAAAAAATAAATTCAAATATCACAAAGGAAAACAAACCAGAGAAAAAACAATGGCGGGGGAAGAAACCATCGGTGTGGTTTGACATGTCCTCTCTCCCAATCTGCCTTGGCTGTGGCATCAGCTGCCCAGTCCTTGGCTCTGTTAACCAAAAAGATGGACAGCAAGTTTTTTGGGGCAGTTGTGATGGCACAGGGTTGACACCATCCCACCAAGCCCTCTAGCACAAGAGGAACTCAGAAGAGCCATTTTTCCCAGTGCTGGAAAAAACACCATGCTTTAATTTCAGGGTTTTGTAGATCTACTGAGCCATATTATTACTCAAGGATGAAAAATAAGGGCCATTTTGTTTTTTTCTGCTTTTTTTTTAATATATATATATTTATATATATACACACAAATACACACCAAAACACCCGTGCAATTACATGTGTACAGGATTGATCTCGGGGGCAGCCAGACGTCACGTTTGTATTTGCTGGCTTATCTCTTTGCAGCAGCAGGAGGAGAAAGATAAAAACTCCCCACGAAGGAGGAAGCTGCAAAGAGCCCAGTGAGTGGCCTCCCCCAAAACATTCATTTATCTGAAAGGCAGAGAAACCAACAGCGTAGCTGCCACCCAGGGCACAGAGGGAGAAGTCTGCTTTTAATGAGGCTATTAAAACAGAAATAAAGCAGAGTAAGGGGGGGGGATGTTCTTTGTTTTATCTGTACAGGAATATGATACACATATGCACAAGCTGACACAGGCAGGGCACTGCCAGGACTGTCACCCCCGTGGGACACGGGCTGAGCGTGGCCCCGGAGCCCTCCCGCCGTCGGTGCCGCTCCGAGCGCAAGGCCAGAGCGCGAGGCACTGTGGTTCACCTTTTCCCAAAGGAAAAAACAGACCAAACCCACCCCCAAAACATGCACACACTCACAAAAAGATCATCTCTCCATCAAAACCTCTCCCATTCCATCTCTGGGGATGGTGTTCCCTACACAGGACACTGGGGAGTGGCATGGCAAGGATGAATCCCAAAGGGTTGCCCACCTCCAGTTCCCCAGCCTAGTGCTGCAGGAAGGGTGGCTGCCTTTACCTCAAAAAAAAAAAAAAATCCATGAGATGGGCAAGGAGATGTTGCATATAGGTGGGGGAAAAAAATAACCCAACACAAAACCCTAAAAAAAAATGTCCTAATTCCACAGATTTTTGCACAAAGCAATAGTGGTTAATTGCCATTTTTAACTGCTGGCTCCCAGCCCAAGACAGGCTGCCAACAAGGGATCTTTATGGAGTTGGCTCATGGAGTCAGGTCCTCACCCTGTTTCCCCCCACCTCAAACACTGTAACTACTATTATTTTGTAGTCCCAGCTTTCCAGCATGCAAAATACAATTAAAAACAAACAGAAAAAGTTGCCTGTATTCAGGCTTCCCCTGTTGAGGGGCACAACTAGGAAAAAAATAAAGTAGTTATGCTTCTGCCACAAATAAAGTGCAAAAACCAAGCAGTTTCTAAGTATACACATATACATACACACACAATCTGTGCGTGTATATATAAAATTAAAAAAATACAGACAAAACTGTCCCTTCTTATGGCTCTTTGCAGTCAGACAGGGACTTCTTCAACCCAGCCAGAGCTCTGGCCACCTCCATGAGACCTGTGTCTACAAAATGCATATAAGCCTAAGGATTCAAACCCTTCCCAATACCTCCACTTCCATCTGAAAAAGAAGAAAGGGGAGATGAAATACCAGCACAGCACTTCAAACAGTGCTCAGCCTCCCCAAAATTCAACCCATGCCTGAACTCAGACCATCCCTGGGTGCTCCCCAAGATGAAAGCATCACTCAAGCCCCTGCTGGCATGGCTCCTCATGCACTGCTTGCATCTTTCAAATAGTTTTAGCTGCAGATCTACATTATCTGCAAACCCCTTTAAGGTATGTTGATAAAAAAAAAATGAAAGAATGGGTTGTTTTTTTTTATTAAAACCCAGCAGTTCTTGCAGTGAAGGAGTTCACACAGCTGCTTTCCTGGTGCTCACAGATCTGCATGAGCCAGGCTGGCATGTGTGACCAGCTGTAGTGTGGGTGAGGGATTGCAGCACAGCATGTTAAGGGCTTATTCAAAAGTCATTAACAACATTAATTATAATTAAAAAAAAAAATGCAAAACCCCTTTACCCACCCCCTTCCCCCCATTTCTCTACTAACCCTGCACCATCCACATATATACACACCCCACCCAGCGACGGATGGGTACCAATCATCTACACAGAAGATCAAAACCACTGAGAGAGAAGAAAATTAAACTCCTGTGCGCTACAGAAGCACTTTACAGCTCGCTACGACCTAACAGGATGCCGGAGAGGAGAGCAAAGGCTGCAGCCTGAAGGGCTGGTGGTGACCCCGGGATGGAGCTGGGCTCCTCCTGCATCCCTCCTGCTCAGCAGCCGGAGGGGACCGGGGTGGGAGCAAGCTTCGGGAACGGCGATGGGATGAGAAGCTGGCGGCGCCGGCGGCCTCACAGCGGTGCCCACGGAGTCACGACGGCTTCTGGGAGTTGTTCATGTTCTGCAACGAGAGGGGAAGGAGAGGTGGTGGGGTCAGGATCCAGCCCAGCAGCATCTTGTAGGAACACAAGGGGACAAAGCCACGCACGGGTCACTACAAAGCACAGGACGCTGCCCACCCGAGGAGAGGCGGGTGGGTGGCTCGCTGCTCACCCCCTCCTCAAGCATTGCTGGCTTTAATTAGAGTTTAGATAGCCCTAAAATCTGAGCTGAACCCAAGGCAACCCTCCCACCCCACCCTGTCTACACTTCTTTGGTCAATACTGGGTGATAGGAGACCACGGTCTTCATTCAAGCAGCCTAATTAAACATCGCTCTCTTGCTCCCCTTGAGGGTGGGCAGCGTCCCCCCTGCCTGCCAAGGACAAGGTCCTTGTTTGTCCATCCTTGGCAATGCCAAGAACGGGCAGCTCTCGCTGGCCATGCCAAGGACCCCCACCAGCAGTGGTAGAGCAGCAGCACAACTCCCCTGGTGACACTCCATGAGGTCTCATGGGCCCAAGAGACGCTCCAGACACAGCCCTGGTACAGAGTGATGACTACAGGTACCCACCAGCACGTGGTGAGGACCACAAAACCAGAGACAACCAGCTACACACAAGCAGGACCAGCCCCCAGGAGAGATCTGCTCCACTAAAAGCCCAGGGGACCACAAGGACATTTCCCAACTCACAGAACTACATGAAACAAGGTAGGGGAGAAAAAGGACTAGGAAACAGCTAGGAAGGAGTCTCTTTCTTTTGTTGTTTTCTTTGTTTTTTGGCAGATTTTTTTGTTTGTTTGTTGTTTTTTTAATGCTTTTACTACCTAAGCTGCCTCTTACAAGCACCAGGAATCCCAGCCAGGCTACAAGGCAGAGCGGGCTGAGCTGTTCTCTCTGTTGTCTAAGGAGACAGGAGGAGGGTTGGGAAAAGCCACATGCACCACAGCTATTTACCTTGGAAATATTAGCAAAGAGAAAACTTTGAGAAAGTGACAAACGGGTCTTCTTTTTAAGCATGAAAAGTGAAGGGAAGAAGAAGGGAGGGGGAATCAGGTGACTGTTCAAAAGTGCACTCAGATCACAAAGCGAACAAAAGCAAAAGAAATCATCATGCCAGGTAGTCCCACAACCCCCAGTCAGCTCAGTCCCACAGCCAGGAGGACTCTGAGGCACTCAGCCACATCCCCAGCCTCTCCAGGTGTCCCCTGCTCCTCCTGGATGGGGGACAAGACCCCAGCAATGAGGGCTGATGCAGTGAAGCTCCCACCACCAACCCAGGCCCACGATGCAAGTTGTGACAGAGGCACCTTCCACCCTGCCAGCCCCAAACAGGTGGTGACAGCGAGGGACAAACCAATGTACAAGACAGCAGTGTGAATGTCACCAAGCCTCGGGCTTGGCATGTCCCCACGGGTCCCACAAAGGCAGCTTTTAACTCCCACACTAGGAGGGGGAGACAGGCTCCCAAGCAGCTGGAGATTTTAAATTTGCTGCTGCCAGCCTACACCTGGCATGGGCAACCATCAGTGCCTGCTCCAGCAAAATCTGACACTTCCATCTCCCAAAGTCAACACCAGAGTGTGTTTCCAGTTCCCAGCCAGCACCAAGGCATGCAGTGCCTTGTGTTACAATACAGATGTGAAAACGGTGGAGGGAAGGATGGACAAAAACTAAAATGGTCTCAGAGCAACCCAAGAGGATCAGGCTTCATCAGGGGTTTTAGTGGCCACGAGCAGCAAGGGGAGGATCACAGACATGCAGGCCATGCTGAGCAACCCAACCTCCACACTGGTGCAGGAGCACAGTAATCTCACCCAACCCGTCCACCAGCAAAGCCAAGTGCAACAGTCCTAAATTTCCTTTTCTCACAAATGTTTACTCTTAAATGGGGAAGAAATATGAGATACAAAAGGTGCTACAGGCAAGCAGGGCTGAGCTCTGGCCTGGCCATGTTAGAGCAGATCCCTCCATCCTCAGGCCACAGAACAACCCAAGCCAGGGATGCTCACAGGCTGATTTGAGCTGGCCCTCAGAGGGCAAAAAACCCCCTGGACACTACCCAGTGTCAGCTCAGCCCCAAAGGCTTCCCAGGCTTTGAGAAGACATCTGAGCACAGAACTGCTGCTCTCAACTCAATGTAGCATTAATCAAGTCCAAAGGCCTTAAATTCATCCAGGAGCTGTCCTGTTCCTGTTACTCTGGGGTACAACAGCCCTGAGCCAAACTGCCAGAGCCTTAATTATTCATAATTAGTGTAGCAAATGCTCAAGATGTTTTGCTTCTGTAAAAGAGATAGAGAAGGACAATTTCCATTCACTCTGCCCACAACATCTAGGCTGACTGTTCCAACATCCAAACTTGCAGAACTGCAGATGGCTAGTCCCAGAATCATCCAGCTCCAGAAAACACATTCCTGAGAAGGTCAGAAGCTTCTCAGACACCTCTCTGCTACTATCACTCACAACTCAGAGCCCTCAGGAAGGACAGAGCACCCAGGACTCTCACCTAGAGTACAACATTCTATCACAGAGGAGACAACTCCAGGAAAATCCAACAGCATCACCCATAGGCATCACCAGAGTGAAAGTCATAATCTGCTTAATTTCACAACAAAACTGGGACATTCCATCCAGCTAGGACACAAACCAGCACCCACAGTCTCCTCTTTACCTTTCCTAAAACAAATCCCCCCCAAACCAGCAAAATATTAACTCCAAGAAATCCACACCCCGTCTGGATTTTGCAACAGAACAACGCAGCAGGATGGCAAGAGACATGGAAAAAAGGGTTGGAAAGAGGAATAAGAGTCAAGAAGGTACTTACAGGCATGCCTTCCCTAGTAAAGGCTGCAGAGAGACAGAGAGAACAGAGAGAGGTGTCAGTAACTGCGTGCCACACCAGGCAGAGGACAGCAGCGAGGGGCACCGGGCAGCCAGAGCTGGCAAAAGGTTTCTTGTGAGGCTCAGCCAGCCCAAGCAGAGCCCTGGGAGCTGAGACAGACCCAGCTGTCCTGGGAGGCTCGTGCAAAGCAGCAACCAAGCAGAGCAGTGGTGGAGCATGGAGCCATTCCTAACCTGGCTGGGATCTGGGCAAGCAGGGGGACATCACACCAACACAGACAACAGGGAGAGGGGCTGGCAAGACAGCGAGATCCAACAGCTGGTGGGAAGGGCAGCATGGCAAAGGCTCCTATAGATTATATAGGATTCCTTAGTGAGCTTAGGAGAGGGGTTTGTGCCTGGCAAAGTGAGCAGCAAGCAAGGCCTCTCTTTCTGCGTCCCTTCATGGGTGGGTGAAAGAGAAGACACATGAGCACCACGGCACCCCTCAGGGTTTCACCACACCAAGAACCTTCCACTCAATTTTGGTCTATTTTGCCTGCAGCTCCAGGATGCAGGAGACACTTCCAGCCAAAGATGAGTCTTGGCAGCAGCTCCTCCTTCAGAGAAGCACAAGAGCATTTTGATTTACTGCCATGCCCAGGCCTACAGAGCCAAGTGCACCCAGAGGGAAGGGAAGGCACCAGCCCTTTGTTCCTGCTCACTCCAGGGAGGAGACCCCTCAGAAGGTTGATGCTAAATGCTGAAGGCACTAATTAACACAGCCTAGAGCTTGGTGGAAGTTGATGACGCTCTCAAAACCCAAGAGAGGATCAACAGTGATCCAAGGCAGGGAGGGACAGCAGCCATGGGAGGAAGATGCATCTCAGACAGCAGCACAGGTTACAACAAGTGCAAGCAGCTTCCTCAGCTTCAGGAGTGTCAGGAGGACAACAAACAATAAAACAACGAGAACAACAACAAAAAAAAAAGAATAAAAAGGAAAAAAAAAAAAAAAGAAGAGTTCAACTAACTTGTCCCGGCATCTGCGTGGGCACTTCCTGAGGAACACAGCCTGGCAGGGCAGAAGAAACAGCCACATGCTCCTCAAAGCTGTTGATGCGAGGTTTTTTGGTGGGCTCTGGGCTTGCTAGAGGGGTAACGCTATTACGTCTCATGAGCGGGTTAGGTCCCTTCTTTGCTTCCTAAATTAAAGTGAGACAAAGAAAATAAAAGTAAATATAAAAAAATAAAGCAAAATAAAGGAAAAAGGAAGAAGGCGACAGTTATAAAGGAAAAAAAAAAGAAGCAAGTTGCTTTGGTTTTCTTTTTTTGTCGTCTTAAAGCGGCCTCTGCTTTTCCCCACAGTCACTGTCAACGAGCAAAGGATGCACTGAAAGTCTCTGGGCACAAAAAAGAAACCCCCGATACAAAATGTTTAAGAGCACAGAAGAGGAGGGGAGAAAAAAAAAGTCTCTGCTCTCAGACATGAGACAGATTTTCTCCTCATCTGAGTCTCAGCTGACAAAAAAAATAGTGCCTACAGGTAGCTAAACACACCCAGCAGCAACCACGCTGTGACTCTGCAGGACACAGAGGTACCCATTGGTCTCCTCCTCGAAGCTGGTCCCTCCACCCAGAGAGAGGAGGGAAAGAAGAGGGAAGATGAGGCAGCCCAGGCTGACCAGGAAGATTTGGGAAATGGGAGCAGAGCAGCCAGCAAGGGTCAGCACCAGGCCAAGCTCCAACTCAAGCGAGGGGGGACGGAGGCAAAGCTGAGCAGGGGCACCCAAGCACTTGGCACGTCTCACCCTGTCCTTGCTGCCATCCCCAGAGAGGGTGGCAAGGCAGGGCATCAGTGGCCCCATGCAGGGGGAAGGACTGGCTTCCCCCCACAGCTGCAGGGAGGGACAGGCAGCTCAGCTGCTGCCACCTGACAGGGGAAGCAAAGGAAAGGAGATGTGGGCCAAAAGGGGACAGCCCCGACTGTTCAGCATCACTTTGGGCTCCAGCACCGAGCACAAGTTGGAAATGTCCCAGTATCTTGGGACATGGGTGCTGCCAGGCTCCCTGTGGCCCACTCTGGGTGGCTGCCCAGCCCTGACACAGAGTTTGGCATCCTCCTGCTCTGGCCTCTGAGCTCCAGTGGAGCACTTGGCACACAGACCCAACCCTACAGAAACCTCTCCACGGGAGGGGTCTCCTCCACAGAGCATCCCCAGCCTCCCACCCTGCAGAATGACAGAGAGCCATGGGCATACCAGGAAAAAGACCTTGAGAGGCAGATGGAGGGCAAGCATTGAGCCCAGGCTCTGCCAGCCAGCTGGGAGACCTGGGAGGAGTCACCTTCTCCATCCACAGCTCCATTTCCTGCTTGGGTGAGTGGGTAACCATGCAGGTGAAAGTCAGAGACCAGGGAGGAGTTTTCCCTGGGCAAACACACTGGGAAGCAGGAACATGCAACAGTCCTTTTCCCTTGGAAAGCCCTCAACTGGCCACGACTTTGGAGAGCAAGAACACATCTGATGTTCCCAGTCTTCCAGCAGCACTTCCAAGCACCCAGCTGAGCAATCTCCCCATGCCCACCACCCCAGGCACCATTTGGGTGACCACAGGGGACAGGAGGGGCACACCACAGGACAGCTCCAGGGAAAAGCAACACTCACCTCTGGCCGATCTCTGTGGGTGTTGACTGCTTCAATGTTCAGTGAGATGGATTCCACCCGGCAGCCTGCAGGAAGGAGCACAAAGAGACAGATCAGCAAAGCCAGCAGGCACAGGAGGTTACCAGGATCCCTGCTTTCTCCCAGACAGCCTGGATTCAGGAGGAGGTACAAATCAACCCCCCTGGCATGTTTAGGAAGGTCTCACTCACCATAGGCTACCGGGGTCAGCTTCAACACCGTGTGCAAGGGGCATTTCAGGTAGGGCATTTCATCTGCAGAGACAGCAAAGCAGGAGGGTTATCCCACCTCGCTCCAGAGGCAGGCTCAGACACCAAAGAGATGCACTCTCCACGATGTGAACAGCCTCCCCAGAGCTGTAAGATCATCCCTCCTCCAACAGGGCCAATCCTCTCCCAGAGCCAGGGAGCTCACCTGCACTCTTGTCCAGGAAATAGGCCAGGAGGCAGCGCATGACAGCCTGGTGGCAGATGACAAGGACGTTCTCTTGCCTCTCCAGCTCCATGATGACTGGCTCCAGGCGCTGCACCAAGTCTTGGTAGGACTGGGGAAGAAGGGAAGTGAGATGAGGAATGGAATCAATGCAACGAGCATCCCAAAAAAACAGTCTCATCTTGGTACACATCCCAGTTTCATGCCTCTGAGTAAGCCAACAAACTGCTAAAAACAAATAGATCCTCATCCCCATGCTATTCTGGAACTCCTAGAGAAGGAACCATTCACATCTCAGTGAATCACAGCTCAGGCCTGGAGAATTAATTAATGTAAGCAACAAGGGCTTTGAAGACAGAGCCTCTCCACCATCTCGATATTTGATTGATACAGGATTTCCAAGTTCTGAGAAGCCTGGAGCAACCTGAGAAACCCCAGGGTTTTGAAGGGCCTCATAAAAACCATGACAGGCACGCAGAAGGAGCCCCAGACACCCAGAGTTGGTGTCTGAACTCCCCACATAGTCTTCTGTCAGATACAGGGTCATGACAACATCTCCAAAAATTTTTCTGAAATGTCTATAGGCATGACTTTCAATCTGGGGATAATTAGCTCAATTCACAGCCTAAAAGTATCATCCAGAACTGATGCAAATTCCCACCTCATTGTGTCACACCCTGAAAGCAGACTGCCAGGAACAGAGATATTACCATCAGCCCTTGGGGAAAGATACTGAGAACAAGGTGAAAATTACTTTTTTTGGAAATGAAAGGAAAGAAAATTAGGGCAGTACAAAACTGTGAGCAGATATAACGATGGAGGTTGGACTAGAAACCTCCAGAGACCTTTCCCTACTAATTTGCTATAAAGTCAGTGGGACTGTTTGTTAAGTGATATATTTCTTATTGAGATCTTCATATGCCAAGATTTCATAAGGGCTCATAGCAAAGGCAAACATGAGCCCTGCTCTCTTTTAATTCTAGTTTCTTGGTGCTCCCACTGCTCAAGAGTGGAGGACAGAATGAGGAAAAAAAGGCCAAATTTAAAGTAAAATGTGTGTCTCTGCAGACCTACCTCCCCAGAAGGATAACGGTAGTAATATTTATCCTGATCCCGCAGAGCAAATTCCTCTGGATGCTGCTCCCTGATTTCTTCATAGGTCATTTCTTCACACACACCCTGCCAAGGCAGGACAAGCACGAGGTTACTGGACATGCTCAAGTCAAACAGCATCAACACAGCCACCAGACAAAACCTCATTTTCTCTTGTTCAGCACCAACCAGCCCCATGCAGCTGTTGTGGCTGCACAGATACTCACAGCATCGATTTCATTGAGTGCTTTCCACTGCTCATAGGGCAGCTGGAGAGCTTCTGCTGTTTGGATTGTCCTCTTTAGCTGGCTGGTCCAAATTTTGAGGTCCTTCAGGTTCTGCTCTTCCACAAATTTGTTCAGTGCCACTGCAAACTGTGTGACATAGAAATAAAAAAAGAGGTTGATTGCTGGTCCACAGCTTCCCAATGGGCTTTTTTTCCTTACTTCTCAGTAAGTGCTGCCTTTCACAGGCAGAAAGGCCAGCCTTGTGCCCAGGGGAAGGGCAGCCACACATTCACTGATCTAAAGATGGACCCTCAGCAGCTCAGCACAGCACCTACTACAGCCACATCACTCCTGGAAGCCAGAGGGGATCATTTTCCTCCTCCCTCACCTTCTTGCCCCTGTTGGAGAGGCCAGAGTCCCCTCCAATCCTGCCCTTGAGGTTGAACTCGCTCTCCCCGTGCCGGCAGAGGTAAATGGTGCGGGGCTGGACGTGGATGTTCATCAGGTAATAAACAATCCTGCTCTGGATGTGATCCTGAACCCTGTTGACCAGGAACCGCCGGCCAACGTCGATGACTTTGATGAGAGAAAGTTCCCTGGGGACAGACAGAGACAGTCATTCTCCAGAGCAGCCCTGTGAGTTATCTCTGTCCATGTAATCACCCAGCTCAAAGGATTTCCTGCAGGCTATTTCCAGCAGGGAGCCAACAGGTAGTGGGGATTCGTGGAGAGCTGAATAGCAGCAGTGTAATCGCCACCCCCCCTCTTGCAGCAGTAAAGAGGATTAAACAGGACTAACAGGGAACATGCTCCTCCCCAGGACAGGGACAATCCACACGGGGCACACACAAGTGTTTGTGAGCAGTGGAGAGGCTGGGAGGTGCCTGCAGAGTCAGGCAGGACAGCAAAACTCTTCCAAGGCACACAGCCACCAGGCAGAAGCCACAGGGCTTGCTCAATCCTGTTGTTTGAGCCAAGCAGTCCCTTCCTTTAACTGAGACAATGGGAAAAAAGCACCTCAACCACTCAAACTCAAGTGCTTTCCCAAAGCCTTTGTATTTAGACCTGCAGAACGAGGTTGAAAACAGCTCATCTGAACCCAGAAGAGCTTGGGAAGGTATCAGTGCCCATTTCCCTGGCACAGGGCCTGGAGAAACCAGCATTTTCCTATAAAAGGCCTGAATTCAAGGTGAGGCCTGGCCATAAATCATTCTAGCACAGTCAGGCATTTGAAGACAAAGTGAAATACAGCTCCACCCTTCACTGCTCTTCTCCTGGGGGAGGGCAGGTGCTCGAGGCAGCTCAGAAGTCAAGGTCTTTTACCTGTCATAGTCATCAGGGTCGAGGGGCTGGTAGCTGGCTTGGTAACAATTGATCCTCTTCATGAAATCCTCCATGGCATCAGTGGAATTACAGTCCCGGTAATCTGGGCTGGACAATTTGACTTCCTGCAACAGAAAGAAAAAAACATGCCACAAGGAGAGGTTAGGAAGCTTTCCAAGCCAGACAATGCTAATCTGGAATTTCCAAGTCCTGCCAAGATCCAGTGATCAGCTGAAACTAAGTGATGACTGCTTTATAGTCATCACTCATCACAGAGCAGAAAAGCAGCAAATTAGACCCAAAACCAAGCATCAGGTGGGAGAATTTGGTACCAACCATTGCCTGATTAGTACAGACAGTCCACTCCCTTTCTCCCAAGAGATAAGCTAGCACTCTATCACCCAAGAGCAGGAAAACTTAGCTTCCCAATGGCTAGAAAAAAACCCATCAGGTTCAAATTCAAGCTGAGAAAGGGAAGTGTATGAAGGTAGGCAAGATGCTTATCCCAGCTCAGCAGCAGGACAGTAGGATGGCAACATTAAACCCCTTTCTGTGCATTATTTGCTGCAAGCTGTTGGGCTGAAAGACACTAGAAACAGGCAGTGTGAATACCCACAACCCTCACAGACTAAGTCCTGCCTGAACTAATCTAACGGGCTGTTCTTCCTGAAGATTTGTGTTTGAACAGCAACATTACACATTGGGAACTTCCTGAAACCAACAGGATAACACAATGGATCAACACATGTGGCAACATCTCAGGCCTGGGGTGTATTTTCCACACTGATCCCAGCACTAAGAGCACCATTCATCTACAGTTCCCTGTAAAGCAAAATCCCAAGCTGATTTTCTCACCCTTCAAGTATTAGTTTCCAAATAAAGGGATTAAAATCCTCCAAAAAAAAAAAAATCCAGCTTGGGGAAAAAAAAAAAAAGTAGCAAACTGAGCATTCTGTTGTTGAAAAGGCTGTATGCAACCTCCCTAGGATAACAGCTCCCAGCAGGAACAAAAGACACTCTTCAACCCCTGGCTGGCAGCACAATTTGCCTCCAGTGAAGCCATGTTGGCTGTCACCAGCCACCTTTTTATCTTCCATGTGCCTCAGCAGAGTTTTCAGGATGATCTGCTCCATTATCTTCCCAAACACTACTGTGAGACTGCACCTGTAGTCCCCCAGTTCTGTCAGGCTTTTGTTTTTCTTAACCCAATTCCTGGCTGCTCAGACAATCTCTGTATTCCTCCCAGGCTGCCTGTCCTTGCTTCCATCCTCTCTCTGTAGGCTTCCTTTTAGTGTTGGGGTTCATCCAGGAGCTCCTCGATCATCCTGACATTTTTGATGGCTGCTCCTTTGCTGGGAATGCATCACAGCTGAACTTGGAGAAGTTGATCCTTCACCATGTACCAGTTTTCTTGGGCCCCTCTTCCCTCCTGGGATTTTTATCCCACGGTACTCCAGGCCAAAATCAGCTCTTCTGACATTTCAGGTCAGAGCTACTGCAGCACAGGCTGCCCTGGAGCTCCACATTCCTCACCAGCCCCTCCTTACTGGTGACAAAAAGGTGCAACAGACAGCAAACAAGGAGAGGTGCTGTCCCTTGGAGAAGGAAGTCACCAACACATTCCAGAAACCTCCTGGATCGCCAGCATGCTGTGCTGTCCCTCCAGCAGATACCAGGGTATTTGAAGCCCCACCATGAAGATCAGAGCTTCTGAAGGTGATGCCATTCCTGCCTCTCCATGGAGGGAAAGCAAAAGCAGGACAATTCCACACTTACCATAACGTTGGTGGCAACTACGTTGGGATCATTGCAGACAGATTCGATGAAGAACACCTGTGAAGCAAAGCAAAGCTCAGCTGAAAGCCACCAGCAAGGTTTGTAACATTCAGCCAGCTCCTTGCTCAACCCAACCTCCTCCCTGCTTGCCCAGAGCTCTCCCTCTGCCCTGCTCCCATCCTCTCCTTCCCCACGGCTCGCTACAGGGAATGAAGGAAGAGTTTCTTATTTTTAATCAAACCCAGCAGTGAAATCTTCCTCACACAGGGATAACACATGAGTGAAAGAAGAGACACCAACTGTGCACTACAAGGATTTCACAATGCAGGCATCAGCCCCATGGCACCCACCTTGAACCCGTTCTCTTTGGCAAAGTTCAGGATCATATCTCTCCTCTCCCGTGTGGTATTGGTGGCATCAAAAACCTTTGAGAGCAAAAGATGTCAATTAGCACCACAAGAGCCTGGTTTCCCAGAGAGCCCCTCCTCAGACAAGGGACTGCAGAGAACCTTTGGGGCTGCCAAACCCCAGAGCAGCTCCGGGAGCTCACCGCGATCTGCCCGGCCTCCTCCGTCAGGTACAGCTTCACATCCCTCAGGGCAGCCATGGCACATTGCCTGCAAAGGAGGGACACCCTGATGTCCTCTGGAGTTACCAATCCCAGCACAGATTCGGCTCTGAGCTCTCAGAACCCCCTCTCACCTCCTGACTTTCATGGCCTCCTCGTTGTCAGGCCGGAAGAAGTCATAGGAGCTGTAATGCTTCACGGCCTCGCGGCGATACTCCCCAACGTTGAAAACTAGGTGGGAAAAGCCAAAAAAACAAAAATCAAAATGAGGGGCATGACTCACTTGTGTAGCTTCTGCAGTTAAAGCAAGCTGGGGACAAGAAATTACATCCTCAGGGCATCCCTTGGTCTTCGGAGTGAAGGAGAACCTGGCGGCATGAGGATGTGAAACACAGATATTTGCCCTGTGGGATCTCAGAAACATCCCCCACCACCTCCCAGCTCCCAAAGCACTGATCTAGAAGAATTCCTGAGGACCAGACCTCCTGCTTTCCCCAGGTAAGGCAGCCAGTGCAAGCCTTACCCTTTGTGGGGACACCGATCCAGTTGAGGTAGCGAGTCAGCTTCTTGGAGATGTAGGTCTTGCCACGGGCTGGGAGGCCAACCATGACTATCACAGTGGGGGAATTGGCAAGCTGAGGCCCACAGGCTGCAAGAAAAAAAGAAGAGGAGCTGTTAATTCTTCAGCTTATCCTGCACCGACCCTACAAGTAACTTGTTTTTATCTGGACTCCTTCCAAGTCTTTCAGCAGCTGGAGGAGATGTGAAAGCCACAGCAAGAACATCCTGATGGGTGTACAAAGCAGGCAAAGAGCCAGCAGCTGGTCCAGGCTCCCTGGAGAGCCTCTGCACCTCAGTTTCCTCATTTGCAACCAAAATAAAAAATAATTTAAAAAATAAAATTCAAAATCAAGGCAAGCACAACTTCACATTCCAATGGCTTGGCAATTCCATGAAAAGCTCAAGGATAGCCAAGGACTTTGGACTCGTCCCTGCAGCAGTGCCTGTGCTGAAATACCAGGTCTGGTCCAAGCTCTTCACCCACAGAAAGCATCTCCCAAAATCTCTGACTGGATTTCTAGCTGACACACAACCAGCTAACTGGATTTTCTCAAGACAAACAAGGTGAGAGAACCACAGAACTAGCAGCATTTAAAAGCAGACATCCAAGTGATTTATCCTTTTTTTTCCCCATAAACCCAACCAGGGGTGTTTTTTTGTTTGTTTGGTGAAGAGGGTCCATGTCAAACAGCTGGAAAGAAAATCCAGAGGCAGCATTTGCAGGACAGATGGGACCCTGCAGGGGATTTCTCACCCACCTGGTGAGACAGAGACCTCATAGGAAAGGAATGCAGGGAGTGAGTGGCTGGTGGCAGAGCCATAAAACCCAGTTTAATTATGGCCTGGGTGGAGAGCTTTGCCTGCCTGCCACAGCTGCCTGAAGGTGGGACCAGGGATGCCAGGGGCTCCCAGGGATGGCTGGGCTAGGTTTTTGTCAACGTGGATCTGGAAAAGCCAAACAAGCTGAGAGGTACCCACAGAACATGCAAAGCACATGGGATTACCTTCCCCTTCTAAGAAAATAAACCAATCCAGCAGCTGGAGAAACCAATTTAAGGCCACAAGGAAGATTCATGGCAGTGGTACCCAGATGACAGATGGAGACATCATCTCCCTAAGTTTCTTACCAAAGCAAACTCAGCAGGCAAGAGATTAAAAACTACCTAAAATGGTGGGGGTTTTTTGGTTTTTTTTTTGTTTCATTCCCCTGGCTGGGGCTGCCCTCACACTCACTCCCTTTGTGCAACCTGCCCCCACACCCAGTGCTGCATTTCAAAACCCCAGGGCAGCTCCCAAAAATTTTGGCAGCAGCAAGTGCCAATTCTCTGTGCTGGGGCACAAGGGAGCTGTGCAACATACCAAGAAAAATACCTTTCCCCCCTCCAACAATGTCACATCCTCATCCAAGTTATGGGTGCAAGCCTGTTTTACACAACACCTACACAGTTATTAGATAAAGGGAGGAGGAAGGAATAATACCTGAATAAGGAAGCTCTTCCTTTCCCTACCTGCCAGTGTGGACAAAGGATCTCAAAGAGTAGAGCCAAGAGGATTTAGGGTCATTAATAAACACTCCAAGAGTAAAAGGACAATGCTGGGTACTGTGGCTCCAGACAGCTGTGACAGCCCCAGGGCTGGCACTGTCTGGGCACACACGTGTCACCTCCAAAGGCTGCTGCAAGAGTTAAACACCTCTAATTCCGCAATCTCCCAATTTTTACTGCCCTTGCACAATGGAACAGCACCTGTGAAGCACCTCCCAAAGCACCACGGCATCAGTGAGCAACATTTCATCAGGAATCTGAGCCCAAAACAAATGTCCCAGGGAAACTTTGCATCAGGGATGAAACAGAACCCAGTGTTTTGCTCCCACAAAGGCCTCATTCATCATTTCTTTTCACCACTGCTGGGAAGCCATCAGAGATTTCAATACATATTCATTACTCCTTATCGATATCTAGCCAGGTAAGTCAAGGCCAGGGATGATTTTCAGAGGGTATTTAAAAGGAGCTTATCGCTTTTGCTATTTGCCAGAAAGCCAGCTTCATCAGCGGGTAAAAGGAAAAAAAAAAAATTAAACAAAAAAGACCCCACCCAGGGCAAAAGGGAAGAAAATTAGCTTCTATAAAAAGTCGGATAAAACAGCCACCTCCCCACTTCAGGCATTTTCACTGTCTCCTCCCTAAGTATTCCCCAAAACCTCCCACAAGCCCAAACTGCGCGTTCTGTTAGTCCTATCGCCCTTTCCCGCTGCAATTCCAACACCTTTCGGCGTGTGCTCCACACCCAGCGAGCCGCAGGCACGGGAAAAAGCAGCCATGGGATGGATGGAGAGAGGCAGTGGCTGCCCTTCCCCTCCCGGAGCATCCCCTCCCCTCCACTTTCCCAGCCCCTACGTGAGAGACGTGCGGCGTGACAGCAATTTAATGGATCGCCGGCAAAAGGGCAGCCCAAGGCATCGCTGCAGCCTCCCCTGGACCAGCCACACACAGCCGGACTCGTTATTTCACACCCGGGATGGGATATTTCGCATCCTCCAAAGGATGCTCGCAGGGATGCGGCCGCTCCCTCCGGGCATCGCGCTGGAAGTGGTCCCCGTTATTCCTCCCTTCCCACCCACCTCCGCAGCTCTCTCGCTCTTTTGTTGCTGCTGGAGGAATTAATAGCACCTCACGTTTAAAATACCTCGAGTTAAAAAAGGAGTGAGCTAAAAAAAAGCCTCTTCTCACATTGAACAGCGTGGCTCGCTCCCACCCCAAGAAAAGATAATTACAAGCCACATGATGTTATTAATAACCCCCTCGCTGCCTTAATATATCAAATATGTTCAGTTTTATCCGCTGCCAAAAGGAGATCTCGCTGAGGAACCAGGCGAACGGAGTGGCAAAAAACCACTGTATGCACAAGGGATTTCTTTCAGAGGTGCCAGTCCTTGAGAAAAATCCAGCCACAGAGACACACGTGCAAAGCATTAAGCCGGGAGAGACGTTTTACCCCACTCTAAGCAAAGCCCCTTGGCTAGCCAGATGTGCAGCCTGTTGCTGAAATCCATTTCCTGGCACAGGCTGCGCATCCCAACATCTGCTCCAGGGTGCCTGACCCACATCAACATCTGGCAAGTGCATAGGATAGCTACTTTAAAAAAAATTATTATTATTTATTAGGAGAAACTTTCCGGCCAAGGTAAATAAACATCGGAAGCGACTTTAAACGCCTGATGAAGGCAAGCAGCGGAAAGACTGATTCACCCAAGCCACTTCCATCCCTCGGCAGGCTGCGAGTGCCACCCCCTCCATCCCGGCTCCGCGCATTCCTGCGGCGCTCATTTCGAGTCAGGAATCGCACAGCTGGCAGGTTGTCCCTATAGCTCGTGGGTGACTTAAGGAGCTGCTTCCTGAGCTTTCCGATTGGCTCACGATTTAAGAATTTGGTTTATAGTAACGCCGGGAGGACCCAAACATTTTTATATTCTGAGGTTTAGAGATAAGGGGTAACCACTGCAGAAGTTTGAGCGCTAATTTCTGCCTTCTCCTCCCCACAGAATTAAATAGCAAAGTGCAAACAGCTGGTGCTTGTAAAAAAAAAATAAAAATTAACACATTGGGCAGGATTTGGAGCGACCTTATCTAGTGGAAGGTGCCCTGCCAGGCAGGAGGGTTGTGGAAGGAGATGGCAGCGGGTGGGATGCGGGCACCGCCGGGATGCTGCAAACAGCCCCGCGCATCCCTGCGCGGAGAAAAGGGAGAGTTTCCCACCCATCCCACGCCTCCATCCCAATCCCCATCCCTCCGGGATGCCGCCGTGCCCGTACTCACAGCGGCGGGGCAGCGCCGGGCGGTTGTCATTGGGAAGCCAAATCTTCTGGATGCGGCTTTGCGTCAGCTCCATGGGCATCTTTAAAACAAAGGTGGTTTTGCGCTCCGCGTCCACCTTGATGCGTTCGCGGGAGGGAGGAGGAGAAATAAAAAAAAGGGGAGGGGGAAATATATGATAAAAAAATATATATAATAAAAAGGGGTTTTGTTGCAGTCGGTGGTTTGGGCGAGCGGCGCTTTCGGTGCTGCTGAGAGCCTCGTGAAGGTTTTGCGGCAGGAGGGGGAGGAGGAGGAAGAGGAGGGCCGGGTCTGCAGGGCACAAAGCCGGGTAGGAACAGCCCCAGCGCAGCCGGGCGAGCCCCGCTGCGAGGAAAAAAAAATATCGATATATATATTAAAAAAAAATAAAATAAAAATATCTTCCCTGTTAAATTTGGGATAAAAAAAAAATATAACAAGAAAGGCAGGAGAATCTCCACGCGAGGCAGCCGGGGAAGGAGCGGTGCTGCAGCGCTGGCTGCTGCTCGGCCCGGCTCCGCGCACGATGTGGCGGCAGCCGCCCGGCCGCCTCTTTCTATCCCGACAGGCCGGGACCGCCCCGGGGCGGGGCGGGACGGGGCCGGGCCGGAGGAGGAGGAGGAGGATGGGAAGAAGGAGGAGGAGGAGGAGGAGGAAAGGGGAGGAGGATGAAGGGCGCGCGATGCCGGCGCGGCCCCTGTCGCCCCCCTGGCGGCCGCGGCGCGCACTGCAGCGCGCACAAAGGCCGCGCTTTGTTCCGCGGGGGGAGCGCGACAGTTTTTTTTTTTAGAAAAAGGAACATGAAAACTCGACAGTAACTTTTAAAAATACTTTAAAAAATAAAAAAGGAATAAAAGATGTAAAGAGAAAAAAATAAAATTAACTAAGAAAATAAAATAGGGAATAGAGGAGAAAATAAGAAGGGGAAAAGAAATAAGCTTAAAAATGGGAATAAAGTTAAATAAAATAAAAAATTTAACGAGAGATAAATAAAATAAAAACTATTTTTAAAAATTAAAATGGAGGGGGGAAAAAAAGAAAAAGAGAAAGGAACACTGAGCGCAACAGCGGTGGGATGGGGGGGCTCCGCCGGCTCGGCCCTCACTCCGCGCTCGGCGGGTTCGGGGGTCCCGCGGGGCCGGGGGATGCCGGGGGGTCCCGAGGGGCCGGGGGATGCCGGGGGGTCCCGGGGGCCCGGGGGATGCGGGTCCGGAGCTCCGGCACGTCGCTCACGTCGCACATGCGGTGCCGAACCGCCTCCCCCGCCGGGGATGCCCGAGATGCGGCGGCTCCGCCTCCGCCCGCGGCCACCGCGGCCGCTCCGCCCGCTCCGCTCCGCGCCGGGAGCCGCCTCCCTGCTCTCGAACCTCATTTTTAATTAATATTTAAAAATTTTAATATTATCTTAATGTAAGAATCCCGTTTCATTATTTATTATTTAATGTTTTCCTAGAATTATTTTATTTTTTCCATTTGCTATTAATTGAATTGTCCTTAATTTGCCATGTTCATATACAATAAATACTATATTATATTATATTATATTATATTATATTATATTATATTATATTATATTATATTATATTATATTATATTATATTATATTATATTATATTATATTATATTATATTATATATTATATTATATTATATTATATTATATTATATTATATTATATTATATTATATTATATTATATTATATTATATTATATTATATTATATTATATTATATTATATTATATTATATTATATTATATTATATTATATTATATTATATTATTATATTAAATCATATTATATTGTATTATATCGTATTATATTGTATTATATCGTATTATATTGTATTATATCGTATTATATTATATTATATTATATCATATTATATCATATTATATCATATTATATATTACATTACATTATATTATATTATATTATATTATATTATATTATATTATATTATATTATATTATATTATATTATATTATATTATATTATATTATATTATATTATATTATATTATATTATATTATATTATATTATATTATATTATATTATATTATATTATATTATATTATATTATATTATATTATATTATATTATATATGACATGACATGACATTACATTACATTACATTATATTATATTATATTATATTATATTATATTATATTATATATGACATTACATTATTTTATTTGCATGATTTTATTATTTTATTAAACTTCATAATCCACTCAATCCGCTCACCAGGTTCCTGCAAGTTACATTTCCACTCTAAATTAGGCTACAAACTGCACCCCAGCAATGCTGACACCCCCACACAGCCTCTGCTTGCAGCACAGAGGGGTTGGGACCTCCCTGAAAATTCCTGGGACGACACCCAAACCCCAAACCCGCAGGTGCAGAAACCCTCTGGTCCCCAGCAGCCACGGGGATGATCCCACCCGGCCTGGAGGGGTTTCTTTGGAAGGATTCTGGGTGGGAATTTGCCACAGCAGGGAAATTTGGGAATGTGTCACGGGTGGGAAGAGCTCTAGAGATGGGAGCATCTGCTCTGATGATGTTTAATACAGCAAATTTTGCTTCAAAATGTCTGATAAGGAGCATCTCAGATACCTAAAATGTTCAATAATATTTTTTTTACTTAGGGCATTTTCCTCCTCTGGAAGCAACGGCTTGTATTTTTGTAACTCATTTAGAAGGAAGATATTTTTGGCTAATTCCTTACATGGAGCCAAGATGAAATAAAAAGTGCACAATCTCTCCCACTCCTACACAGGGAAAAAATATTCACGGGCAAAAAAAGAAAAAAAAAATCAAAAATAAATTTTAAAAAAGCTACTGTGAGTGAGCTGGAAAAGAAGCAGAGATTAGGGATGTGGGAAGGAAGATGGGAGAGATCTGTGAGTGCTCCAGTTGGCAAGGATGAGATGGGAGTCAGGCACAACAACCCTCCCTGGACCACTCTGCACAAATCCCCAAATCCTTTTCACATGTAGGGCAACAAAAAGCCGGATTCCAGCTAAAGCATGAGTCAGAATGAGGACAAAAATTCACATGATTTTACAGGACAAGGAATTTGGGCATCATCCCCCTTCCTCCAGCAGCTCTCTCCCCTCTCCGTGGCTCTTTTCCACCTCTCAAATCACCACCCCCACGACATGAAAAGGAGCCCGAAAGCAAAACCCTGCCTGAATTAAAATCACAGTCGCTTCAAATTAGATCCACCTAGTAACTCTTGGCTTAGAAACTCCCAAATAACTGGAGCGGAAAGCTTCAACTCCGAAATAAGTGGCCTGGATTTCAAAGGCACCAGCACCCAGCTGCTCCGAGGGAGGTCAGCTGGAAGAAGCACTACTATTTTTAAGGTATTTGCACCCTGAGGAGAGGGCAGGGAGCAGGACAGCACTAGGTGCACTCAGAGGATTATTTTTTCCCCCTCCCAAATCGTGCTATGCAAAAAAAAAAATCCCAGCTTCCTAAAAATAGCACATGAAGTGGTAAATAAAATGTTGCTCGCAGCTGCTGTGATAAGAGCCCAAAGGGGGTGCTTAGCTCAGCGATTTTTCAGGAAATCAAGTCACTGATGCAGCCTGAATGCTGTCAGGAGGATGTGTCAGCCCCCAGAGAGCCACCACAGGCACAGAGTGCCATGGGACAGCCAGTGGTGCTGGCCCACAGAGGGTGGAGGGAGAAAACAAGCAGCCAGAGCAGGCTGGAGGTGCTGCCACACATCCCCCAGTCAGGAACTGGCAGATATTTAATAAATGAGAAGGGACAGGGGTATAAATGGAATGCCAGGGTTTGAAATACGAGAGTCCCGGTGGTAGATGGGGAAAAAATTAATTGAGCGTCCCAAGGGATGAATGCTGCAGGTCCAGAGAGGTGGGAGAGGGAAGTACAAAAAGGGAAAGTCTGGTAGAGAAGGGGAAAACCCCCATTTCTGTGAGAATGGGACACCCAGCTCTTATGGGGTCACAGTCTTCAAACTTCTCTGAAACACCAAAACTAAAACCTGTCAATTCCCTCTTTTGTTCCACTGCAGCTCCAACATCTAACTCACCCAGCAACCCATCCTGGACAGTGGCATCCCAAAACAACAACTCCGGACATTCTCCATCCCCTTTGGAAGAACCTACTGGTGACCAGCCAGCCTTTCCTGACATCCTCCCTGTGGCATCAAAATGCCAGCACCAGCAGCAACTGCTCTGGCGAGCCCCAACTCTGACTCAGCCATGATTCACCCTCCTCTTTTATGTCTTTTTTTTAAAATTTATTTATTTGATTTCCTCTAAAGGAAACTTGGAAGGGAAGGACCAGTCACGTTCTTGCCTACATTCAGTGCAACACGCATCCTCTCCTTCAGACGAGGGTGCAGGGGGGGATGCCTGGTGGGATCCGAGTCACACATCCAGGAATTTTTTGCATGGTTAGGATTTGGAGAGGGTGGCTGGGAGCTGTGTGCACATCACTGTGTCCATACAGCCACACACTGTGCTCCATTCATGTCAGGGCAGCTTCATCTGCAGCAGTTTCCAGCATGGCCTTGGTTTATGGGCCTGAAATGTGGGGACAAAAATCAGAATCGCAGCAGGGTTTGGGTTTAAAGGGATTTTCAAGATCATCCAGTCTCACATCCCTGCCATGGCAGGGACACCTTCCACTATCCCAGGTTGCTCCAAGCCTCTTCCAAGCTGGCCTTGGACACTGCCAGGGATCCAGGGGCAGCCACAGCTTCTCTGGGCACTCTGTGCCAGGAGCTCACCACCCTCACAATAAAGAATTTCTCCCTAACATCCCATCTAAATCTACTCTCATCCAGTTTTAAGCCATTCCAAAATGTTCCCTATCCTGAGAGGGTGGTTGCAAAAGTCAGACAGCAGCTGCCCAGACTCTTATTACTGTGTTAATGACATTTTCTTCCTATTGAAAAATTTATTCTTGTGGGCTGACCAAGGAGCATTTATATGGATTTCAGAGGAAAAAAAAAAAAAAGACAACAACAACAACAACAACAACAACAAAAAACCCAACAACAACAACAACAACAACAAAACCAACCACAACAGCAAAAGCAACAGAAAAAAGTGCTACATTTTGGACTTTTAAAAATAATTTTAAATAGTTGGGATACTGAAGAAGCCAAGAAAATCGTCTGCGATATTTTTCGGGGAATTAGATGCTTTCAGAAAGGTCAGGAAGGAAAACCAAGTGGTTGACACCTCCCGTTGGCAGCTGGATGCTGAGTAGTTTTCACTGCTGATGGCGCTTTCTTTGGAAGGACTTGGAAAAAAGCTGCTACGGGTCAGGCTCGTGGCGGGGAGGGTGATAAAAGTCTGATTTCTGATTTTTATCAGGCTGATAAAAATGTTTGGATTTGGAGAGGCAGCTGGAGTTCACGGTTCTTTGCACCGGCAGTTTTCAATTGCCTCCCTCGCCCCTCGCAGGTATTTCAGGAATAAATAAACAAGGAGAGAAGTGTGAACTGTACCTGTATGACCGGGATGTCACCGCTCCCTCTCCCTCGTCCCACCCAGCTCCTGATGCTCAGGAGGGGACACCAGGAGCTCCTGCATCTGT